GTGGCCACTAAATGCAATCACAAGTGGAGGAGAGAAAAGGCAGTATGTTCACAGAGGCAGAGAGTGGAGTGATGCAACCATAAGCCAACAAATGCTGGTAGCCATCTGAAGTAGGAAAAGACAAGGAATAGATTCTCCTCTAGAGCCTCCAGAGGGAGCATGGCCTAGCTCATACCTCAATAATATTGACTTTGGACTTCTGGCCTCCAGACTTGTGAAAGAATAAATTTCTGTTGTTTTAAGTTGCTAAATTTATCGTAATTTGTTATAGCAGCCATAGGAAAACTAATGCAGATTTTACTACCTGGAAGTGAGGAGCTGCTGTAACAAGTACCTAAAAGTGAAAGTGGCTTTAGAATTGCGTAATGAACAGAAGGTGGGAGAATTTTAAAGCACATGATAGAAAAAGTCTGGATTGCCTAGAACAGACTATTGGTAGAAATATGGGTGTTAAAGACTCTGCCAGTGAGGACTCAGGAAGAAGTGAGGAGCACAGAAGAAAAAGCCTATACCGTCTTAGAGAATATGTAGAAATATTAAAGGTGCTCCTGGTTAAGGCTGAGAAGGGAATGAGGAATATGTCATTGGAAATTGGAGGAAAGACTGCCTTTGTTATTTGTGGCAGGAAGCTTAGCAGAATTTTGTCTTATGGCTATGTAGAAGGCAACACTTATAAGTGATGAACTTGGATATTTACAGAGGAGATTTCTGAGGAAAGTGTTGAAGGTGCTTATAGTAAAATGTTAGAGGAAAGAGATAAGTTGAGGAAACAATTGTTAAACAAAAAGGAATTCAGATTTGATGATTTGGAAAATTCTCACCCTATCTAGATTGTATAAGATGCTAAAATTAGAAGACTTACTCTTAGGAAAGTTTGTTATGGAGAGAAGTCCAAAAATATGGCTGGAAAAGCTTTTGCTTGTGCTAAAGAAATTAGATGTGTGACTTACTGTTCTATTTAACCATTTCAGCAGAAGCCAGGAATAGAGATGGGATTATCTGGGAAAGATCTGTGGAGGATCCTCCATCTGATAGCACCAATCCTATGACATACATAGGAGACCCACAAGGTTTTTATAATGTTATATCAGCAGAAATAGTGCCAGCTTGAGCTGAAAGTAAGAGAGACAGAGAAAATGAGGAATGCTGTTGGATTCCCAACATTTTATAGGCAAGAAACAGTCCAATAAAACTTCTCAGCTGCAAACATGTTCCAATTTTCAAAAACCCCCATAAGAATGACTCTGAGGGTGGAACCTTGGGCCCAGAGGTTGGAACCACGAACTATAGAGGATTATTCCCAGGCCTTGAAACCTGATGGAATTTGCCCTGCTGGATTCTGAAATTGCTTGACACTACTGACTTCTCCCTTCCTCCCTCCTTCTCTTCTCTCCCTTCATTGCTCCCTTCCTCTTTTCCTTCCTTCCTTTTACTTTATTCTTTTTTGAATGGGAATGTTTGTAATTGTTATTAATGCCCCAAACCATTGTATTTTGGAAGCAGGTAACACAGGTCCACAAATGGAGAGAGATTTTGCGCCAGTATGGATGATAACCAGAGTCTTCCCCATACCTGATTTAGATGATTAGATTTGGGGCTTTTGAACTGATGAGGTGTAGATGAGGTTTTGGATTTTGAATTGATGCTTAATGTGTTGAGACTTCAGGGGATGTTGGGTTATGGTGAATATATATTGAATGTGGGAAGAACATGAATCTTTGGGATCAAAAGGTAGTAGGCTGAATAATGCCCTCTTCCAAAAATGATAATGCATCTCCTCATCCCTGAAACCTATGAATTTTATCTTTTTATGGAAAAGAAAAAAAAAAGACACTGAAGATGTGACTAAGTTAAGGATCATGAGGTGGGGAAATTATTCTTTATCCTCTAAGTAGGCCCTAAATGCAAACACAAATGTCCTTATAAGAATGAGGTGGAGGGAAATGAGACAGAGGGAAGGCAATGTGACTACAGGGGCAGAGAACAGAGAGATGTGTCCATAAGCCAATAAATGCCAGCAGGCACTGGAAGCTGGAGGAGGCAAGGAGCATATTCACCCTACCGCCTGTGGAGGGAGTGCAGCCTTGCTGACGCCTTGAGCTTGGCCCAGTGATACTGATTTTGGATTTCTTGTCTCCAGAACTGTGAAAGGGTAAATTTTTATTGTGTTAAGTGGCTAAGTGTATGGTAATTAGTTGCAGCAGTCACAGGAAACTAATACAGAAATAGAGAGGAATCGGATCGTTTCCCTTATCTGTATACTCTTGTATTCTCTTTGAACATGAGACATCTTTATGATTTTGTTAGATTTCTGTAGCCATCAGGCTTTTATATTGGAAACTTTCACCACTCCTTCTATTTTTAAAACAGTTACTTTCTATTTTAAGCATAATGGCATTATATAAACGGAAAATGCTTGTGCATAAATAGAAGGCTTGACTTCTGCTCTTGGCCAATTACTTACACATTATCTGAGTTTCAGTTGAACAATGGGAATTATATGAACTGTTCTTCCTAAACCACATAACTGTTATAGGTATTTAATGATGTAAATACATATGAAAAATACCAGCTAAATAGTGTAAATGTGAGTTTCTTTAACACTTAACTATTAAGTATGCTCTCCCTAGCTATACCAAAGTTATGATGAGCAGTTTTGCACATATATCACTGACCGCATTAAACATTTCCCCCCCTTAAATTCGATGCTAGAAGTGGGATTTTGGGTTCAAAAGTTTGAACACCTTAAAGCTCTTGATTTCATATCTTCAGACTTCTCTCCAGAAAGCCTGTACCACTTTACTCTCTCATAGGGAGCACACAAGTGCTCATTTTACTGCAGTTACCTGAGAGAATTTTTAAAAAGTATTTTAAATGTTGTACCAGCTTGAAAAAGAAATATTTGTATTTCTTTGACAAGGGTTAACATATTTTTTGCATTTTTTTGACCATTTGTATTGTTCTTTGACTATATTTCCAAATAATTACTTGTACTTTTCCTTACTGATTTGTAGAAACCCAGTGTCCTTAAGCTGGTTAACCTTTGTTTTGTGTTATTTCTTCACCAGTTTGTTGTTTACCTTTAGTTTATGACTTTTGATGACTTTCTTGATCAACAGTTGAATGTAGTTAAATTCAGTGAGCTTTCATTGTTTTCTTCCCTCCCTTCCTTTCCTCCCTTTTGCTCACCCTCCTCCCAATTTTCCCTCTAGAAAACCTTTCTTGTTTGGCTGCTTTTATTGATTGTTATGTAGATTTGCCCTTAATGGGCAGTAAAGCAAACTTGAGATCCAGGCACTTATCAAAAGACATCATCTCAAGTTATCTGTTGCCAAACATGGTCAAAAGTTTGAGTGGGAACAACAGTATTCAGAGTTGATTGCCTGAAGGATATACTAAATTTTATTTCTGGGGGAGAGGGTGAGTGCAGCATCAAGACCTTTGCCCCAACCTGATAGACCCACCTTCTCTAATTTACAATCCCCTCTCATTTTACTTTATGCATTTGCAGACCTTGAAGCCAGGGAAACAGAAACCCAGGTGGCCTGTGCCTTCCCATATCACCACTAGCTCCTTTCTTTGTATCATCCTCTATGTCCCTACTGTTGTTAATAATAATAATTCTACCATTAATCAAATGCTAACTCAGTGTAGCCTAACAAGCTTGACATTTTGCATGCATTATCTCAATTTCCATAAGAACCATACAAGATAGTAAATATTATTCTAATTGTCTAATGAAAAAAAACCAAATGCTTTGAGAGGTAAGTGACTTGCCTGATAGCATATGTATGTAGAGGAATGGGATGTGAACTTAAACCCAGACCTTTCTGGTTTCAGAACCTATTTCTTTCTTTTTCTTTTTTTAAAATCTATCGATATTGATTTCAGAGAGAGGAAAGGAGAGGGAGAGAGAGAGACAGACAGAAACATCAATGACGAGAGAGTCATTGGAGATCGAGCCCGCAGCCCAGGCATGTGCCCTGACCGGGAATTGAACCTCAATCTCCTGGATCCTAGGTCGATGCTCAACCACTGAGCCACGCCGGCCAGGCCAGAACCTTAAGAGGTGTTCTAGCGGTGTGGACAGATACCTCCCTCCCCCTCACACCTGATTTCCTGAATGGTGATGCCACTTGACATGTCTTTTCTCTTCTGCCATTGATACAGTAAGGGAGGCAAATAGAATGGATGGAGCAGAATAGCAACATTCTAGGTATTGAAATGGAAATGTTTTCGGGAGGAAGTAGAATTTCTCTCATTCTTCAAATGCCCAATGGCATTTGGTCCTTGTTTCTCTAAGCTCAGGCATCTCCCTCCTTTAATGTTCTCTAACCAACGGAGGGCACTGTGAAAATTTCAAAGCAACCAAAGGCCAGAGGCAAGTGGATTGGTCTTAATTTGGCAATTGTTTTAAATGTCCTTTTTATAGCCTGTGATTGATGGCAGCTTGCTGTGGTCCCTGTGTATTGAGCCTGGGAGAGCTGATTAAAAGACTGGTAGTCTTTTACTGGCATTTGGATGATTAATTATCACACCTCTGTTAAATTTTATACAGAGTAAGAATTAGGTCAGTGGGAGTGGTTCTCTTATTTATTTCTTTGAAAGGCTTGAGACAGTGACAGCATTCAATTGCCTAGTGTTAATTTTGCTCTTATATGCTTATCTATCAATTATTTAGAGCCCTAAAATTCTGCAAAAGAAATAGGGAAATGTGCTGTAGCCTCTTTGGGGTGGGTGACACTTAAGGTCAGTGGGCACAACATGAGAGCATTGACTGTCCTGTCCCTCATTATGTCCTTAGCACCTAATCAGTGCCTGGCATGATACATTTTTTGATCAAAAAACTACTTGGTGTGGCTTGAGTGGGAGAAAGGAGAGTCAACCAGAAAGTAAAGTTTGGGATCAAGCTTGCAGGCAGGTTTGGGGGTGATGGAGAAAGCACAGTCGTCCCTTTAAAGGTGGCTCTAACAAAGGCTTGTTTTTGTAATTGTTTGCAGAAAGATTACCACTTTGAATATACGGAATGTGATAGCAGTGGCTCCAGGTGGAGAGTGGCCATTCCGAATTCTGCAGTGGACTGCTCTGGCCTGCCTGACCCAGTGAGAGGCAAAGAATGCAGTATGTTTGACTTTTTGACCGTTTGTTTTCCTGATTAAACCATTCCCCCTTCATATCAGCCCACAAAGTTAATTGTGATGAATATGAGACCTTTGAAAAAGTGAACATGTAGCACTGATGTCTAGCAGAACAAAAATATTCCTTTTTTAACACTCAGCGCCCCCATGTCTGAAATCTGTAATGAGACACAGGCAATAGTAAAGGATGTTAATTTTATTTATTATTTAAAAAATGCTGTGTGCTGTCTTTTTTATTTATTTTTTATTAAAGTACAGTTGACAAACCATACTATATTAGTTTCAGGTGTACAACATAGTGATTCTACTTTTATGTACCTTCGATGTGGTCACCACGATATATCTGGCACACATCTGTCACCATAGAAGTTATTACGATATTATTGACTGTATCCCCTGTTCTGTACATTAATCCCTGGAGTGTATGTGTTTTATAACTGGAAGTTTGTTTCTCCTATTCCCCTTCATCTTTCCCCCAACCTCCACCTCCTTCCCTCCAGCAACCATCAGTTCATTCTCTGTATCAATGAGTCTGTTTCTGTTTTGTTTTGTTTGTTCATTTTTCTTTTTGTTTTTTAGATCCCACCTATAAATGAAATCATATGATGTTTGTATTTCTCTGTTTTACTTATTTGTTGGCATGGATGTGGAGAGATGGTGTACTGTTTTGTGTATTTGAACTTCTGGAGGGCAGAGTGGCAGAATTTCTCCTTAATAGATTTCTGTTTTTAATTTAAATTTCTAAAAAGTTATACAGTTTTTGGTAAAATACACATAATGTAAAATTTGCCATTTTAACCAATTTTAAGTGTACAGTTCAGTGGCATTAAGTACATTTACCAACATCTATCCACAGAACTTTTCTTAAATTAAAAAAATTATTTTTTAGAGAGAGGAAGGAAGAGAGAGAGAAAGAGAAACAGTGACGTGAGAGAAAACCAGTAATCAGTTGCCTCCAGCACTTGCCCCAACGGGGGGATTGAACTCATAACCTGGGTATGTGTCCTGATCAGGAATTGAACCCGTTACCTTTTGATGTATAGGGGGATGCTGCTCCAAGCAACTGAGCCACACTGGCCAGGGCCACCCACAGGACTCTTATCACTAACATCCATCCCCAGAACTCTAGTGTAGCAATAGATTTCTTGTTTTTAGCCATAGAAATAATGTAATTTTCCTTTTTAGTATAGCCTACAGAGAGATTGTAGAATTAATGACTATCACATTCAATGGCTTGTCTTTTAGCAATTAAGCAGGTTTGAAGTGCAACATTACAAATTAACAGAGAAATATGTTGTTACATTTATTTTCACTTATAAACTCTACTTTTCTTAATCCTTCAATTTGGTGAGTCACAGGTTCCTGCAGTGAAGTAGTCTAGGGGTAGACTAGAGTTCAAAGCTAGAACTAAGACAAAGAGGTTATTTTGGTTTTTCTACAGCCTTCCAAATGGTATTCCGAAAAGCTTAGTTCTTCTATTCCCAAACGAAAGAGCAGATAAGCAAATGATTAAATGATAGTTAATTTCTTCCTGTTCATAGAGAATGTGTCTCTGTTTCTGAAAAAAGGGAGATGGGAAGATACAATAGTCTTATGAGGAAAATTAGGGAAGGAAACCATTATTTCTTGATGAATGATATTAAATGCATACAGAGAAGAACCCTATCCAGGTGAAGAGTTCTGTCTGGCAAGTTTCTTAAGAGGATACTGGGGTCAGTATAGAAGAATGTGATACAGCCATTTGTGCAGAGAGAAGATAAACTCTCTGAGGAAGGATTGTGAATAATACCTATGGTATTAGCTCATTGTAAAATTGCATGTTACCTTCCTAGAAAATTTGCATAACATTTGTCTATATTTACTTTTTACTTGTGACCTAATTTCTTGGTTCCCATGTAAAAAACCCTTTTGAGGTGAACTACCTAACCATGACGAATACTGCTCCATATCTAGGTGATGTGTTGGTGCTGGCTAGCACTGGCTTTTGAGAGCTGGTTGTTAGTTTGAAATGGGTCATGGTGGAGTGTTTTTTCACCATGGAAACTGGCAAACACTAAAAATCAGGGGCCTCCATTTCCTTGGGAGCTGGTTATTAAACATTTACCAGCACACCACTGATTAAATTTATTTGCCTAGTGTTCAAAAATCTGTTACAGAATTGGTGTCTGAATAGGCATTATTTCTATTTCAATGTTGCCAGGGACATTCTTTTCTCATTATTTACTATAATCTCCCACAGTTAACATTATGAATCTGACAGTCCAGCAAGAATTTTTGTAAAAACTCTAATAATCAAATCACTATTACTTATTACTTTAAAAATGATACCACTTATTTTAAAAATTAAACCCTAAAAATGACAATACTTATGTGACGGATGGGGCATTTTTTATCTTGGCATCCTGTCTGAAATCTCATTTGCAAGTATTTCTCCATATATACTTATATCACTCTGGAAGGTATAGCCTCTGATAAGTGACTTTTTCTTTGTATAGTAAAGGCAAGTTATTTTAAAACTCACAAGAAACTTAATAGATCTAAGTAACTTAGAAGCTCATCTAATTCATAACATTAAACATGGCACTTACCACATTAGTAGTCATTAAAGTACTGCTGGAAGGCAGTTATGGTAATAACTGAACATTTCTTCAGTGGCTTAGATTTCTGTTGCTAACAATAGCTACCATTTCTCTTAATAAGGAGCTAAACATTGTGCCTAGAGCTTTACAACATTATCATATTGTATCCTCACAACCATCCTCTCAGGTAGCTACTATCAGTGTTTCCATTAATCAGTAAGAAAATTCAGAGTTAAAGCGGTGTAGTTACCACAGGTCATTCAGCTGCAATGTGACAGATCTCAATTTAAATAGACATCTAATTCCAGAGCCTGTTTCTTACCCATTGAGTTCAATTACCACATGCAGATGACAGCCTGGAGGAGCTTCTAGGGTCTCACTTGGGGGATGGAAAGCTCTGTTGGTGGACATCTTCAAGGGAAGATATTAGAAACTCTTGTGCTTCTAGGAGAAAAGAGGGTAAAAGTATTGTGGTTCAGGATGGCATGCTACATGCAAACCATACCTGAGAGATGCCAAGACCTCAGATGATGGGTGATGCCCCTCCTATGCTAGACTCAGCAGTTATGCGATGATGTTATGGCCCAGCAGTTGGACCATATAAAAGAAAATTAAAAAGTGGAATGTGGCAACTTTAAGTGAAAAATATTTAGGGCAATGGCTGTGTGGGACATAATTTCCCCAGATTCTAATGCCTCTCAATGAAGTCAAACCCAGAATTCAGCCTCAGTTGAAATTGTTATAGATTCTTCAAAATATAATTTAGTAGAAGTACAGAGGAGGACTTTCCTTAGGAAAGGCATTACAGGAATTTCATTTAGTAGTTTAAATTTTTTTTCATAAAATTTGTGGGCAAATATAGAGATAGAAACATCAATGAAAGAGAAACATCATTCATTGGCTGCCTCCTGCATGCCCCTTACTGGGGATTGAGCCCACAACCCGGGCATGTGCCCTGAGCAGGAATTGAACCAGTGACCTCTTGGTTCAGGGCTCAACCACCGAGCCGCACCAGCTGGGCTTATATTGTATTTTTATTTTTAAAAAGTCACATAAAATTTGGCTAAAGGCTTCTCTGAGTAAAGTTAATGAGAAATCAGGTATCTGTTTTTGTTGTGCTAGAACCCTGGGGTGTATGTGAGCTTGGAGCTTACAGGGCTCAGGATATGGGATGGAGAGAACTCTGGTTATTAACTGACACTGGTTACCACTGTCCTCCTGTCCCCTTTGCTATGCAGAGCTCCTCAGTCTCATAGGCAGTGCTGCTCTGGGCAGGCCACTAAGATCTCTTCTTCTCTGTGATGCTCCTGGCTTAGCTACAGGGAACTTTGCTGCTACTTCCAAGCCCTGGTCCTCAGTCTTGTTTCTGTGGGCAACACTCACCATTTGAAGCCTTGGCATCTCTCAGGCACAGCTTGCAAGCAGCATGCCATTCCTGAACTACAACATTCCTTGTCTTTTTCCAGAACAGGGGGATATAACCCCTGTCCCAGTACCATCCTCTCTCCACTGTTGGGTTACTTCCCTCTTGCGTAAGAGTTTCTAAAATCTTCCCTTGTCCCTCTATGGTTCCCTTCACATTCTTAGATCATTAAAAACAATAGTCATTCTGGAATTCTCTTTCTGTTCCCCACTCCCCCTCTTTCTCTTTCTGTCTCCCCACATGCTGAAGAAAGGGACTTTTCGTTTCAAACCAAACCTTAGAAATAAAAACCTGGATACTAGAAGTGGGGAGAGAATTCTTTTTCCTATTTCCTTACATATTTGCAGAAAAGTCTAGAACACTGAGAGAGAAATAAACATAAGACATCTCTTCCTTTTGGGCTGGGGTGGGGAATGTCTGGCCCGTGGGCCGTATTATTTGGCCTGGCCCTGCCAATGCCTCGCCAACGAGAAGCAGTTCTAGCCATCACATTAGGGATGAGTTAATTAATGTTTGACCAAATATAGCAGGCTAATTTTTAAGATGATAATTTTGTATGGCCCTCGAATAATGTTATAAATATCCAAATGGCCCTTGGCAGAAAAAAGGTCCCCTACCCCTACTTTTGGGCGCATATATCTGCGGCTTACTCCTTATGTTTCTCAGTCCATGACTTCAAGCACAGCCTTAACACATTATTTTCTAATTGGGGATGTGTATTTAAGATATGTTAGCATCAAATCAGTCATAGTTTGTGGACATTGTTTATTCTTGTACTTCAGTATTTATGTAAACTTCTAATATTTGGTTTCCTTAGATCAAAAAATGCTCTGTTCAGGTTAGAAAAAAACCTTGAATATAAACTATTTTTATTTTTTCATTGTTTCTCTCAAATCTAGTGTTGCTAACCCACATTCAGTGGGTCTTAAGGAATAAGAGTAACTGGTGGTGACAGTTGGAGTCAACAGCTTGTGGTTTCAG